CACAACCAACTGTGAATCTGTTCAAGGATGCAGGAACCATTGACTTCATTTGGACAGGGCTCAGTGTGGTAGGGTGGGAGTTAGATGGGGTACAGTGTGTGTGAGGGGGTTGGCAGGTTTGGATGGGGTACAGTGTGTGTGAGGGGGTGGCGGGGATAGATGGGGTATAGCGTGCGTAAGGGGGTGGTGGGTTTGGAAGGGGTATAGTGTGCGTGTGAGGGTGGTGGGGTTGGATGGGGTACAGGCTCCAATATTGTCTAAAAGCTCTTTTGTCTCTGTAGGTTGCACCAACAAACTGAACTGGCTGCAAGGGCCATCTATGGACTCACTCCTTCAGCAGCAGACTAAATGTGATATGTCCAAAGCACCCAGACCTTATCGTGCCATTCCCTGCCTTCCTGTTGCTGACCTGTACCAGAGCTGGCCATGTTTGGAGGAAGAGGAGGAGGAGCATGGAGAGGAGACAATCGGTGACACAGGTACTGAAACCCCAGCAGTCAGTCAGCTCAGGTTGTTAGTGTCAGCTGTTGGATTCTAAGCTACACTGTTCACAATGTGAGTATAACGTTGACAGTCAGAAGCATAGTAATAAGGTCAGCAGGCTCTTAATCCAGAGGTCTAGGTTAATGTTCTGGAGACACGGGATCAAATCTCTCTATGGAGTGTAATGAATAAATCTGAAATTGAAACTATTCCTTGTAATTATCAATAAAACCCATTTAATTCACAAATATTTAGGGAAGAAGTCTTGCTGTTTTTACTTGATGTGTCCTACATGTGACTTCAGACCCACATTAAGGGAATCGTTATTTAACTGCCCTCTGTAAAGGCTGCACAAGTCTTATAGTTCAAGGGAAATTGGGAATGGGCATGCCTGCAACATCCACATCGCCTGAATAGGTAAAGGAACGGAAATATAGGCACAACTAAAGGCCATAGTCTGCATTTCAGGATTAGGTAGCTGCTAGACATTGGTTTCCACCAGTATCATTTATTAAGGGTTTATTGTGATGACCAGCATCGCAATTATTACTGATGTTTTCTGGCTGATAATTTAGCTCAACATCTTGGTTTTAACATCCAGACATGGCTAAGGTGAGGGAGGTGGAACCGGTGACAATAAATGATTTCAAATGGAAATTGGTTAGACATGAGGAAAAGAAACCTGCAGGTCTCTGGGGATAGAGTGGGGCAATGGGACTGACAGGCTTATTTAACAGAAAGCTAGGAGAGACTCAATGGCTGAAATCCTTCCTTCTATGGTGTAATGAGTCTATGATGTTACTTTATTGTTTCTAACTGCACTGCTGTAAAGAGATCTGTGTTTCACCACACTTTGTCCATTTTGACTAGACCATGTTAAAATGTCTCTGAGCCCAAGATTTTACTGGAAAGTATTGATGTTTGTGTTAGTAAGGCATAAAGAGAGAACTAAGTGACCACTTAGGATGATGAGGCAAATCTAAATATGAGTAACATGCCGATTTAATATTGAAATATTAACTATTTCCTTATTTATTAAATAATTCACTGCAAACAAAAGGAATATGTCCAAGCCTTGTATCTTTCTTGAATTACCAGGAGCTTGAGGAACCTATTGTTCTCCAGATCTTTCTGCATGGCATTAGAGTTTGACCAATCAGCACCATTTCTTCCTGTAGTGTAAATTGCTTTGATTGTTGGAAATTTGGCATTCTTGCATTTGTCCTGATAAGTCCAAGATGAAAAGCTTCAGCAACATGCCTCTCGCCTCAGTAATATTTCCTAATCTTGATCCCAAACTGAAGGTGAAAGGAACCAGAAGGGAACTGAAGGAAAACATGTCATAGATACTAGTAATCTAGACTGATGCCAGAACTGTGCTTCATTGAAATTTTTTGTTGTTCTTTCACAACTGTTAACATTTATGTCTTGTTTCTTTCTGTGTCTGTTTGTATATGTATGAGAATTTTTAAAAGGGGCAGAGTTTACTTTATGGAGAGTTGTAGGTTAGCATTTTGTGTTTTTCTGACTTCTTCTAAGAAACAATCCCTTTGCAATAAATAACTGTTATCTTGATAAGTACAGAAACCCACTGAGTGCCTCTTTCAACCTGCATTCATCAGTCAGGTAAATTGGGGGCTTTGGATAGGTTGGTTAAATCTTCTCACATTAGTAATGACTCTGGGAATAGCAGGGTTCCAACATCCTACCCCAGTGAGTTGTGACAACAGATAGTTACAAAAATAACTAGAAATGACCCACTACCCTGCTACATTCAGACTATAACCAGTGTTGTGGGTTTAAGCAGCCAGGCTTGTCTTACTACCCCAAGCATGGCAGTGGGTCAGGTACCATTAGCAGGGGGAGGAAGAAGAGATGGCCTAATGGCATTATCACTGGACTGTTAATCCAGTTAATGTTCTGGGTCCTGGGTTCAAATGGTGGCATTTGAATTTAGTTCAAAAAATCTAGAATTAGTAGTTCCATGGTAATCATTAGACTCTTGTCAATTATTGGAAAAACCCATCTGGTTCACTAATGTCCTTTAGGGAAGGAAACTGCCATCCTTACTGGTTTGGCCTACATGTGACTCCACACCCACAGCAATGTGGTTGACTGCCCTCTGGGATGGTCAATAAATGCTGGCCTAGCCAGCAACACCTTCATCCCATGAATGAAAAAAAGTCCCACCAATCTGAGTCTTACCTTGTTACTGTTTCAGAGAGGGTTTGACTCTAATGAGTGTCCTGCACACATTTCAGAGATCAATTATGAACTGGAGGAGGAGTTGGACCTAGTGTTTAAATACACTGGTGTTTTCTTTTCTCTCCTGCGAAGGTGAGTGCTGCCCCATCACTGATAATGAGATCAGAGGAATGCAATCTGACAGCTCAAGGCCTGGTGCGACAGAGAGACTGACAAATAGGGAGAGTGGAGCAGAGGGTTCAGATCCTCAGGAGACCAGTCTTTATGTTCTGGTCACTCTTCCCGCCAGGGACCTGGAGCTGATCACAGAGGGGGCTGACCAGGTGCAAGCCACTCAGCAAGTGTTCGACAAGGTGAGAGACATTTACAGGAGGAAACTGTCTTTACTCTCGCATTCCTTTATTGACCCTTTCATAACCCTCTGGCCCCTTATAGCCCCATTGCTCCCCTCGAATTACCCTATCCCCTCTCTTAAGTCCCATTGTCCACACATTGTCCCCAGTCTCTCTATTACTCCCTCATACCACACTATTTCACCCCTCATTTCCTCCTATTGCTCCTCTCGTAAATGCCCCATTACCTTTCCAATATGTCCTCAGTTGCCTCTCTCACACCTTCCTGTTTCTCCTCGAGTACTGTCCTGTTATTCCTCACTTACATGTTCTATTGCCCCTCTGGGTATGCATTCTGTGGCCCTTTCTCCTATGCACCCTGATGCCTCTTTCATATGTGTCCTTTAGCTTTCCCATATGTGCTGTTACTCCTCTCACACCTCCTTGTTGTTACTCTCACACCCTCCAGTTTCCCCTCTTGTGCGGCCCCTGTTTCTCCTTTTGTACACCACTGTTTCCCTTTCATACGCCTCAATTGCCCCTTTCATGTCACCTCGGTTTTCCCTTTTGTATCCTGTTGCTAACCTTGCATGTGCACTATTGCCCCTCTCTTACAATCTGTTGACACTTGTGCCCTCCCGTTGTCCCTCTCATAACTCTGTATTTCCCCCTTATGTTCCATTGCTTGCCCTAATTCCTCTGTTCCCCTTTCCTACCCCTATTTCCTCAACAATGCCCCCATTACCCCTATATACTGCAATATTTTCCCCTTCATTTTCTCCTGTTTCAGTCTCATACATGCTCTGTGTCCCTCCCATGCTGGATTCGCAGGAAGGCTGCACTGCCCTTTGACGGAGGGGGTCTGAACAGGGTGACAAACCCTTTCTCATGTTCCAATTGCCATGGGTCCAGTCAATCTCCACTCTCCTGACGTCTCAACTAGTCCCATGCCCTAACTCCTGACACTCCCCACAGGCCTATCTCACCCCTCCAGCCTCCTGCCCACACCCCTCCTCCCCGCAACAGCCTCCAAGTGCCCCACGTCAGTATAGCTTCCACAATACCCAAGGACTCTGGTTATGAATGATCTCTGTCCCACAGCCTCCACCCAGTTTCCTCAACAGACGACAACCTGCCGAAGCGGAGGACCAACGCCACAGCAACAGCCTCTTGGGACAGCCAACCATCGATTCCTCCCAGCTGTGCTGTCAGAAATCCCGAGCAACTTACTATGGAGGGCCGCTGGCTGGGGTCAGGAGAGGTGAGCATCATACGGGGCATTCTACTGTGTGTTAGTATCCAACAGCCCCAGACATCAGTACACAAGAGATAGCGTTTAGAAAGACTGGGGAACAGCGGGGGACAAGGGGTTGAATGGGGAACAGCGAGGGGGACACTGGGGAATAGCCGGAGGATGGGGGGGCGGTGTTGGAGATCGGGGAAAGTAGGAGAAAGAATAGGCAATGGTAGGAGAGAGACTGGGGAATACCAAAGGGAAAGACAGGGGTATGGGGGGAGAGGCTGGTGTACAGGAATTAGAGACTTGGGTATGGTGACGGTGGGGGAGATACTGGGGACCAGAAAGAGAAAGACAGGGGTATTGGGGGGGGGGCGGGGGGGGGTGTGGTGGTGGGTAGATGCACTGTGTGTAATGGGAAAGAGACTGGGGTATGCAGTGGAGGTGGGAGTGGGACGACTGATATGCCGTGCTAACTTCATACCTCATCCAGTTGTGTCCTGGGATACAAGCATTTCCACTCCGTTCAGTCACTTCAATCCTTAGAATTCCCACAGGAGTGACTAAGATATATCCATCTAACCCTTTCCTAATCAGACCCTTGGGTCAGATAGGGCTCCTGACCCTAGAGTTGACTATGTGTCTTTCTCCCATTCCTGCCTTTTCACATTTGTATTCAGTTATCCCTCTTCCTCAGTGAAAAGCCGACCCGGTGACCAGTATGGTTCAAGGCACCATGTGCAGCTTCCTGCCTCCATGAGTGGGCGAACGAAGCTTCCACCTATTGGCTCAGAGACTGCAGCAGGACTCCAACCAAAACAGGAGGAAGGTAGTAGCGAGGTAAGACATCACACTGGGGCCAACAGTGACTATCTACTTAAATCCAGTTGGGATGATCTGGGCATTTACTGTTCCTAGACTCCATACAGCCAACATGAGAGAGCTTCCAAAGTCTGTAGAAGCACCCACTTTAATAAGATGTATCTAAGTGTTAGCCTTTCTCAGGGACTATTACTCTCATTCTTGACTCTAATTGAGGGTTCAGGCCTCTCTGGGGGGAGTGACGATTGTGCAGTACCACAGGAGTGCTTCAGTACTGAGACACTGAGGGAACTGTGTACCTGGCAGAAGCAAATAACTCTCCTTTACCCATTGTACCTGTACAGGAACTGATGATAAAGTTGGGATTTTCCCCTCCCTAGAAGTAGTGAGAAGGGCATATAATCAGGTGGGTTTACACAGCAATTGAGTTCCATTGGGCACAGTTCACGGATGACCTGCTGGCACACCACCAATTAATGCCTTTAAGTTGTGAAGGGCAGGTAAGGCCTTCAAGCCACCACCAGCCTGATTCCTTGCCTGCTGGGAAAGCAGGTAAAGTGGCTACTTTGATGACAGGAAAATCAGGGTGGTCTCTCTGTGAAGCTGGGGAGGAGGGTTCATAGGGGCATGAATAGGGGCTATGGGGATGGTGATTGAAAGCTGCCCGCTACCCCAACCTCCTCCAGCCTCTGCATCCATCTCTGATTGGCCCGTGCATTCCCATAAGATGAGACACCATAGGTTACCGTGTTCCCAGGTAACTCCAAGACGGCTTTCCCATTGCTTTCCTCAATGGCAAACTCCTTGGCCAATCAGAGCTGACTTGCCAACCAATCAGCACCCTTTTCTCCAGTAGCGTAAATTGTTGTGATTTGGCACTCTTATGTTTGTCCTGGTGAGTGCAAAACAGAAATTTTCAGCTTTGTAATTTGGCTGTGCGATCCACACATGTACAGGATGTGACAATGGTTCCCAACTGTTAGTCTGTTGAAGGAATTTGTGCGTTGGTCTGTTCCCTAATCTGTATCTTCTACTTTAACCAATAATGTGTTTTTGATTGTGGAACAGTTGTGCAGGTGGAAATGGCCCCAGATTCAGAGGAGGTCAGTAGCAGCAGAAAGGCATGCTGGGAGGCAAAGAAAAGGACCAATCCTTGAAGCAGCACAGTACACACGGAGACTGGTTCTTCCCCCACTTACGGATCTCAAGCCTCAAAGGGAGAAGGGAGAGGATATCCACGATGAGGCAACAGGTAGGGAATGTGAGAAACTGCCCAGTAATGGGAGATAGCAGCTATTATCTCAAGTGAGGACAAGCGCAACTCCAGGCACCCACCCCATACCTCAAAATAACAACCACCCCATCACAAAATCCAGCAACATTACATTCCCCCTTCACCCCCTTCCATATCCACCAGCTGTATCTGCCCCATTCCAATCCAAACATTGGTCAATCCAACCATAATTTGTGTTGTATCTGCCCAGGGTCTGTTTTATAGTAAATGTGGAGGGAGCTTTATTCTGTATCTAACACAGTGCTGTACCTGTTGGGGACAGTGCCGAAGAATCTTTGTTTTCTGTTTAAAAGGGTAGAGGGTGCTTTACTCAGTTTCTAACTCCATACTATCCCTATCCTGGGAGTGTTTAAAGAGGACATTGTAGGGGAGGATTTACATTCAGGTTAAAAGAGTAGTGGGAAATTTACTTTGGATCTAACACCATGCGGTTCCTATCCTGGGAGTGTTTGGGGACAGCGTGGAGTGAGCTTTAGTCTGTATCTAAACCCATATGATACTTTTTCTGGGAGTGCTTGACGAAAACAGCATAGATGGATATTTACTCTATCTAACCCTGCACTGTACCTGCCCTGAGTATGTTTGATTAGGAGAGTATAGAAGAAGCTTTACAGTATATCTAACCTGTGATGTACCTGTCCTGGGATTGATTAATGGGGACAATGTAGAGAATATGTTTCACTCTGTATCAAACCATGTGCTGTATCTGCCTGGGTGTGTTTTATAGTGACAGTATCTAGGTAGCTTTACTTTCAGTTTAAAAGAATGGAGGATGCTTTACTCTCTATCTAATTCTGTTCTGTACCTGTCCTGGCAGTCTCAAATGGAGACAGGGCAGAGTAGGCTTTGCACTATATCTAAATCTGAGCTGTACCTGTTCTGGGAGTGTTTATGGAAATAGTGAAGGTGCTTTACTTTCGGTTTAAAAGAGTAGAGGAAGCTTTACTGTGTATCTGGCCTCATGCTGTACCTATCCTGGAGGTTTCTGTGGGGGTCAATGTTGAGGAACTTTACTTTCAATTTAAAAGACTAGACAGAGCTTTACTCTATCTAATTCGGTGATGTCTCTGGTCGGGGAGTGATCAAAGGGGACAGTAGGGAGAGAGCTTTGCTCTGGATCTAATACAGGAAACCACATAACCATTGCTGTTCAAAAGCAGGACAGGAATTCTTGTATAAACGAGTCACATTAATCTAACCTGACTGCTGCTCTGTAACGTGGGGAAATGAGTTAATCTGGTCCTGTCGGTGTTCTGAGTTGCACAGCAGGTGTTTAATGTGGTGAAGATTTCTGAAAGTTGGATGAAGTTACAAGTTTTCTGAAATTTTCCAAGACTAGATTAAGGGCTGTGTAACAAAGAGAGGGCATCATTGTGATTCAAAGGCAAGGAATTAGATCATGAGATTTATCACCATCCCAAGGTCTACAGTCTGGTCCTGACCCTATCTGGTCAGCCAAGTGCTGGAAAGAAATTGGAGTCTCTCCCATCACTTTTTCTATATTTCTAGGCTGCTGTTGGTGGTGGGGGTGTGATGCTGTTCAGAGGGGCAGTGTGGAAACAGGCCATTTAGCCCCTTGAGTCCACACTGCCCCTCTGAACATCATCCCACCCCGTAACCCTGCATTCCCTGTGGCTAATCCACCTAACCTACACATCCTTGGAGACTATGGACAATTTAGCATGGCCAATCCACCTAACCTGTACAACTTTGGACTGTGGGAGGAAACCAGAGTATCCGGAGGAAATCCCACAGACACAGAGAGAGTGTGCAAACTCCACACAGACAGTCACCCAAGGGTGGAATCGAACCCAGGTCCCTGGTCCTGTGAGACAGTAGTGCTAACCACTGAGCCACCATGCCATCCAACACACAAATGTTGCCTCAGCAACTCCAACTCCCTGAGTGCCCAAGACCAACACACTTGGTATTCTTAAAAGAAATTTGCCTACAAAATCCTCTGAAAATAGTTTGCTGAACATTTTCATGTATGTTCCTGGACTGAACCTGAGGTCATTGTTATTCAAAAATTGTTATTCCTCCTGCTAGAAATTACTCTGTGTTGGGAATCTAAATTTCAGAAATGGCCTCTTTCTGCCTAAAATTGCCTGGTAGATCTTGATAAGAAATGTAAAAGATTCAAAACGGATATGGGGAGAAGATGGGCAGACAGAATTTGAGTAAATGGGTTCAGATTGGTCTGGATCAGATACTATGGGCAGACTGGCCTCTTTTTGTGTTGGAACTCATCATTCTATTCCTTGCATCATGTCTCTGCGAAAACAAAGTCAGAATTCTATGGAAAACTCCAGAATGAAAGGACTGGATCAGACCACCCAAATCAATGAAGGAGTATTCAGTCAGCACAGAGGAGATTTTTGGCCAGGATGGAGGGAACGTTGGAATTTCAGAGAAAAAGGGCCAGAGGGAGAGTGAAGAAAGGATGGTCAGATTCATCAGGATCAGGATTAGGATTGAAGAAGATGGGAACTAGTTGGAAAGTGAGGATGGATTAAATTGACCCTCATTGTGATTGGCCCTGTCTCAGCCCAGTGCGCAGCTGGGTGTGGGGACCCCCTTGGGCCCAATGCGCAGCTCGGTGAGGGATCTCCATCTGTCTCGTCTGTGATCCTCTGCTGTACCATGGCTAAAGCCTATCATTAAAATCACCATCGGACCATGATATTGTCAGTGGAGTAGAACAAGGTAAACAGTAGGCATGAGGGTGATGGCATGAGGAGCTGCTTTGACTGAGGTTTCTTTCCTGTAGTGATGGAGCCAGTTTCTGATTGTGATCCTCTTCCCTGATGTAGGGAGGCCCTTGTTAGAGCTCAGCCTCAGATACAAGCCAGGCCCAGTAATATTGAACAGGCCCTGGACGCTATCCAGGCCTCTGAGTTAATAAATGTGAGGTAACATTCACAGCACACAAGGGGCAGACAATGACCATCACCTACAAGAGACAATTTAAACATCACCCCTTGATATTCAATGGCGTTACCATCCACGAATCTCCCCACTATCAACATCCAGACAGTTGCCATTGGCCAAAAACTAACTGGACTCTACATATAAAGACTACAGCAGGACAGCAGGTCTGAGGCTGGGAGCTGTGAGGCAATTAAATCACTTCCTGTCTCCCCAAGGCCTGTCCAACATCTTTGAGGCATAAGTCAGGAGTGTGATGGAACACTCCCATTCACCTGGATAAGTGCTGCTCCAAAAATGCTCAAGGAGTTCAACCCATTCAGGTCAAAGCAGCCTGCTTCATTCACATTCTACCCACCACCATAAACCTTCGCTCCATCCAGCATTGACACTTGATAGCAGCAGTGTGTACCGTCCACAAGATACACTGCAATACCTCACCAAGACTCCTTTGACAGCACCTTTCAAATCTGGGACCTCTACCCTATCTTTCCTTCCTCCAGTACTAACACATCACCCCACGTGGATTCTAACTGAAGTTTCATCCCTCATGTTTTGAATCCTCCCAGGATCACAGGTATCTCCGTGATGTTCAATGTTCCACAAACAGCTGCTCTCACCACATCCTGAGATCCACACTCAGTGCCATGCGATGTCACATGCGCACTCCTGACCTTTCTCTCCAACAGCATCGCAACACACTGGCTCAGGGTTGCACCACTCCACAGTTCCACTTCATCCTTTGGCTTATTTGCCGTGCTAACAAGAAACTTTTTTTTTTCCTTTCAGGCATCAAGGAACACAAGATGCAACAGCTCAAAGATACTTATGACCCTCTGGAACCTTCCTCCCCTCCCCTCCCCTCTCCCAACTCCACCTCCTGTCGGGTATTCATCATCCCTCCCAGCCTTCCGCTCTCTGATGCTGAACGTTCTGTACTCAACAAAGGCCTCAGCTTTATTCCTCTGTGTCCCCAACTTAACGAATTTCGGGCATGACATGGTGTCAAACTCTTCTTCCTGCGTATTCGCCTCCATGCCTATTTCTTTCGGTAAGAGTCCTTTCCCCGTCCCACAGACCCCTTCGCCCAGTTCCAACACTCACTGTCCACCTGGACCCCTCCCTCTCGCCTTTTACCTGCACTCGATTTGTTCGTTGAGAACTGTCGACGTGATATTGGTCACCTCAATTTCTTTGCCCCCCTCACCAAATCCCTCCAAACTGACTGCACTCCATACACTTAGATCTAACCCTGACTTTGTTATTAAGCTGCTGATAAGGATGGTGCTGTTTTGGTCTGGTGTAAAAAAAAGTATGAGTTCTGAGGAGGGGTCACGGGACCTGAAGCGTTAGCTCTGATATTTTTCTTCACAGATGCTGCAAGACCTGCTGAGCTCTTCCAGCAACTTCTGATTTTGTGTCATTTTTGGGATCTAATTTCAGAAATCTGCCTCTTTCATTGTTCAATGCCAATTTGAAATTATTCAAATAAATATGGGAAGTCTGCAGGGGAAAGAATTCGAGTAGACAGTTTTCGACTGGTCTGGGACAGGAGCAATGGGCTGAATAGACCCTTTCATGCTGGAATTCCTCTGATTCTATTTACAAAATTCTGTCTTTGTGAAATCAAAGGAAAGTTGGAAGCCCCTGATTCTACAGAAACTTCCACAATGGAGGGACCGGATGAGTTCACGCAGATCAATGATGAATACCCTATCAGTACAGAGGACAGATCCAGTCAGAATGGAGTGAAGGTTGGAATTTCAGAGAAAACTAGCCAGAAGGAGAGTGAGGAAAGACAGCTCGAGTTCATCAGGATCAGGATTGAAGAAAATGGGAATCTGTTGGGAGGTGAGGATGGATTATGTCGTGAGATATTTGATTTGATTTATTATTGACATATGTACCAAGACATGGTGAAAAGCATTGTTTTACATGCCATACAGGCAAATCTTACCTTACATAAGTACATAAGGTAATAGAACAGAATGCAGAATATTGTGTTATAGCTACAGGGAAGGTGCAGAGAAAGATCAACTTTAATATGAGAGGTGTGTTCAAAAGTCTGATAACAGTGGGGAAGAAGCTGTCCTTGAATCTGTTGATATGTGTTTTCTTCTGCCCGATGGAACATAATTATTCTCCCTCTCTCTGCCCCGGTGCAGAGCTCAGCAAGGGGCCTCTCTCTGCCCCGGTGCAGAGCTCCTGTCTGTCAAGGCTTTGGTTCACCCCAGATCTTCTCACCTTGCCTGGCTTGGGTGCATACTTAACAATGTACTGGGCCAAAATGAAGAGTGAAATAGGAAAATGTTGTATTGGAGTGAACAATGAATGATTGACTGAACAATGAACAATCAATGAGTGAACAATGCTGGTGTGGGATTTAATCAGATGTTGCTTTGATTGTGTACCCCATGTAGTATTTGGGGTACTGTGCAGGTTTACAATTGGGAGACTCCTTACCCCATGGCAGGAGGCACCTTCTCAGTGTCAGACCCTGGCCTAGTCCTAGGCTCGCCCACACACAGGCCATGGCCTTTAGCTTCTATTGAGGTTTCTGGCCTTTTTATTCTTCATGGGATAGTTCATCTCTAATGATGGGCCATCATTTATTGCCCTCTGGCACATTAGACTGCTTCACAAAAAGGAGGATTTGACTGCACTGCCTCAGTCTGTGACCAATGTGTCTTGTCTCTGCTGGAGAAAACATTCACTTTCTCACACTAACATTTATAAATGTTTGGGGCAGGCATAAGAGTTCAAGGTCATTGTTGTTCATGAACAAAGGATTAACACCTAATTTTTCTCTCTGCACTCTGTGCATCTTTCAGATTTAGAACCCTAGAAACAAGAGGAGGTTATTCTCCGCGATTGAGTTTGTTCCAGGATTCAATGAGATCATGATTGATCTGTTCCCATCTTTGCCCCATCTCTCCTTGTACTTCTGATTATGAAAAATCCATCAACCTCAGTCTTGAAATGAACAGTTGATGTACCATCAATTGCCATTTGCAGTGACAGCTCCAAGTTTCTACCATCTGTTCTGTGTAGAAGGGTTTCTTAATTTCTCCTCAAGACACCTGAGACAGTAGAAGTGGTTCCTCTCGATCTATCTTATCTGATCCGCTTAACAAACTCAAAATGTTTATTGAATCACACCTAATTCTTTCAATACCAAGGAAGCGATCTAAGTTTGTGTTACTCCTTGTCTCTTAACCCAAGGCATTCCTTCTGGTAAACCTTTTCTGTATTCCTCCAAGGCCACTACATCCTTCCTAAGGTATATGCCCCAGAACTGAACACAGTAACTCCAGGTGAGGTCTCCAGGGTATTGCATAGCTGAAGAATGATTGCTATTCTCTTGTGTTTTAGTTATATAGGTATAAAGGTCAGCATTCCATTGTGACTTTGGAATATTGTACTTTTCATTGACATTCATAATAATAAAAGATTGGAAACAAGTATGGAGAGAGGAAGGCAATTTGAGTAAACAGATTGGACCATAATGGGTCCAAAGGACTGAATGGCCTCTTTCCATGCAGAAATTCCTGATTCCATTTTTGACATTCTGTCTCTAAGAAAACAAAGGAATGTCAGAAGCTCCCGATTCTATGGAAAATTCCAAAATGGAGGTATTGCATCAGTCTACACAGATCAATGAGGAGTATCCAATCAGCACAGAGGAGAGGTCTGGCTGGAATGGAGGAAATGTTGGAATTTCAGAAAAAAACAGCCAGAGGGAGAAGGAGGAAAGAGAAGTTGAATCCATTGGAATCCGGATTCAGGAAGATGAGAATCTGTTTGAAGGTGAGGATGGATTATATCATGTGGGATAGTTATTGTTCCTCTCTCTGCCCTGGTGCGGAGCTCAGTGATGGTTTTTTATCACCACGATAATTATCTGATTATCTGAACCGACCTGGCTCAAAGTTCAAATCACAGATGGGCCCTGAGGATATAATTCAACTGTATCTTCTCATCTGGGGAGAGGATTGGTTGTTTCCTCTTTGCTGAGCTCCCTTCTTACTGGCTGAAAAGACCAGGTTAAACGTAGCAAATGCCAAGTTGTCAACATTGAGTGGGTTCAAATCACCCTTGGCACTTTCAGCCCACTCATAGGCCCTCCACTGTCTGATGTTTGACTGTATTGTTAAGACTGCTTTGATCTCCCAGGGGGTGCCAATCAAAGTCAGAAAGCTGGGCGAACGCTACAGCTGCTGCCTCCAATTCACGAGACAAGAGGCCCAGTGGGAAAGCGGAGGAGTAAGCCAGGCCTCAGGCACAAGGCCAGGAGAACCAAGACTTCATTGGGTGCTGTTCGTGGCACTGTACCGAAGGAGCTAAAAGGTAGGCACAGAATTCTGGGGGAGTGGAAAGTATGAGGATCAGCAGGGGGACACAATTGAATGCAGGAACAGAGGAGACCAATCAGCCCCTCAAATACGTCCAATCAGCCAGTTAGCTCATGGCTGATCTGTAGATTAACTCCATCAACCCTCCTTATTTCTAATTCCCTTAATAACCCTAGACAACAAAAAAAAAGATCAAATTCCATTAAGTAACATTTGCATCAGCCCCTCAGCCTTCTCAGTAATTTCTCTGGGAGAGAGAGATCCAGATTTCCACTATCCTTTGTGTGAAGAAATGCTTCCTGACATCATCCCTGAATGATGTGGCTCTAATTTGAAAAATCTGCTGTATACTTTGGTCGCTCCCTCCAGAGGAAATCATTTCTATCTATCTCGGCATTCTAAGGTATGACACCCTGTCAGTATCAGAATAGAAGCTGGACAAAACCTTTATTTCTCTAAATGTAATCTCCACCCTTTTAACATCAAAGCTAACTTTCTGTTCAGCATTCCAATTATATTTTCAAACTGCCAACTTGTTTTCAGTGATTTGCATTCTTAGAAAGGATCATAGAATCCCCACAGTGTGGAATCAGGCCATTCAGCCCATCAAGTCCACACCAACCCTCCAAAGACCATCCCACCCAGACCCACCACTTACCCTATCCCTGTAACCCTGCATTCCCCATGGCCAATCCACCTAATCTGTACCCTTTGGACTGTGGGAGGAAACTGGAACACCCTGAGGAAACCCACGCAGACATGGGGAAAATGAGCAAACTTCACACAGATAGTAGCCTGAGGGTGGAATTGAACTTCAGTCCCTGGCACTATGAGGCACCAGTGCTAACCACTGAACCACCATGCCATCCCAGCACAGATCCATTAGTTTCACTCCAGTTCTCAGCTTCTCACCATTTCATAGGTTTAAAGTAGATGAATTTCACTTGCATCACACTCCACTTGCGATTGGTCTGCTCACTCACTTAATCTATCATTATCCCTTCCCAAGTTTCTGCTGTCATGCTCACTGTTTGCTCTGTCACCTAACTTAGTGTGGTCAGCAAATTTGTATACAGTAACAGAGGGAATTGAATCTATGTATTGGGTTGACAGCTGTTTCCAGTTACACTTGGACTTGTTCGGTTGCTAAGAATGACTGTGATGGGTAGATTACAATGTGGTTGGACTCTTGCTGTGCCTCTTATAACAGATGTTGCAATGTCCTAAGTCAGGGTACCTTGGTTTATTCAATGGTGACTGTCAGATTTTTGATTCTTCTTTCTTTCTGTAGACATTCACAAGGACATTTCGGTGGGCAGCCTCCTTATGGCTCCTGATGGTGAGATTGTGCACCTTTCCTGGTTGGGAAGTTTCCAAGGCCCAAGCAGCAACTTAATGATCAGCTTACCTCAACAGCAAGGTGAGCAATTCTCCTGGACTGGGCTTCTGGAAACACAAAATGGTTCCTGCTCCTTTTAAATAACCCCGTCTCTTTGAAGTTTGAAGCCAGTGGCTGATCTTTTATTTTACTTTCCTTCTTTATTCCCCCACAGCACCCATGTTGTGTGTAAGTGCAGGGACTCAGTGAAGACACCATGTGCAAAAAGACTGTGTATTCAATATTTCCACCACCAGGAACACACCCATGTGGCCAGGGAACCAGTAACAAGCAAAGCCCAATAAGGGCATTGTTTACTTGAAAAATGTGAAGGGGGAGCGTAGAGATTGAATCAAAATAGAATTGGAGGGCGAAATAAAGCACTCCAACCCACCTCTCCCTAAAGATGTCGCAAGCATTGGTGGACACCAAGCTTGAACATAGAGGCTCATCTTTTATTAGACATTGGGTCACTAGATGGTTTGCTCACAGTCTGAGTCGTGTGATCACAGATGAGACTGTTCTCTATCTTATCTGCAATATCTCTGTACAGTGTACAAGGTGCTGTGTGTGTACATACCGTACACATGACAGTGAGTGTCTGCATGATATGCACATTTTTTGTGCAGGTATGTCTGTATTGTGTGTGTTTCTCTCTCTCTCTATGGTACATTGTGTGAGTGTATCTGTCTGCCTGTACGGCATGCCTGGTGTGTTTAGTCTATACAGTGAGCCTGTAAGATGCAACAAGTGTGTTAATGTAGATGTTTATGGTACACCCCACCTGTGTGTATACATGTGCAACTATACTCTATATGGATGGGTGTGTGTGTCTCTGTAGGGTACAGATGATATGTATGTATGTCCATTTGTATGATACATGCTGTGTGTCTGTTTTTATGGTACATCAATGTGTATTGGTGTCTGTGTGTGTGTGTGTGTGTGTGTGTGTTTAAATCCTCTCACAGACGATCTCTGGGCTATCACCCAGGAAATCAAATAAGTTCCAGCTATCACCCAGGAAATCAAATAAGTTCCAGAGGGTTGATTCATCCTCATATCCCCACCGATGATCTAAAGATGCAGATCCCCCTCTCCCTGAAAACAGCCACACTGTATTGCTAATGTTCATTCCCTTGGCTCATTTTCACACCTACACCTCCAAAACACAAACCAGAAATAGTTCCAAGGCTGGAAACAAACTCAACATGTCAGGCAGCCGTATTGGAGAGGAGAAGAGGAGGGTTTAATATTTCTCTCCAATTCTGCTGAAAGGCCATCACACTGAAACATTAACCTCATGCTCCCTCCTACCTTCAGACCTGCCTGAGAGTTTTCCAACATTCTCTGTTTTTATATTTTTGTAGTTCTTTCACTGGACGTGGGGTCAATGGCTTAGCCAGTATTTGTTGCCAATCCCTAATTGCCCTTGAGAGCGTGGTGGGTGAGGCACCTTCTTGAACCACTGGAGTCTATGCTGTGAGGGAACTCCTGCAGGAATGTGCTGGGACTGAAACAACTAACCTCTGACAACCACAACCATCTCCCTTTGTGCTGGGCATTACTGCAGCCGCTTGAGAATTTTGCCCCGATTCCCGTTGATTTGAATTTTACTAAAGCTGCTCAAAGCTATTATCAGTTAAATGTTGTGTTGATGTCAAAGGACAGTCACTCTCACCTGCCCATTGGACTTCAGCTTCAACTCTGAACCAAGGCTGTAAACAGACCCGATCCTTTTACGATTCCAGTCCTGCTTTTAAGATTGAATGACAACTGCGATCCATCAGGCAGAGAGTCTTTGAATCTGGGATGCTACATGGAACAAGATTCTCCTGTTCGAGGTATCTATGGTAACTGGCTTCCCTTATTTTCCAGGGCATTTTCTACCTGAGTGTGTTTTGAGTGGCAAAGAAGCCGGACTAATAACTAACCAGGAACCAGAAGGTGAGGTGGTGAATGGGGCTGTACACAGAGATACCAAACACCTTGGAGATTTTCACATAGAGACAGGTTAGTATCTTCAAAGTACACCTGGGTTTTAATGTTCCTGGTTGAAGAATAGATTTTGGCCAAGCTACTGGGACAACTTTCCTGCTGTTCTTGGGAAAAGTGCCATGGGATCTTTCATATTCACCTGAGGGGGTAGGTGGGGACTTGCTTCACTGCCTCATCCTAAGGACAGCATCTTGGACTATGCAGCCCTTTCTTAGCTCTGCACTGGATGCCAACTTGGAATACGTGCTCAAGTTAGTGCAGTGAGTCTTGAACCAACAATCTCCTGAGTCCTGATCACCCTCTACTGATCCCTAAGATTGACTTAACATTTATCTATTTGGTTTGAACCCAAGATTCATGAGACTAATGGAGCACATTTAAATCTCAGAGTCAGATATTTAGAACATCATTTTCTACCTGGGTCCCTTTGTGTTTGACTATTCTGTAAGCGTTTTGGTATCCAGGCTTGGCATTTATTTTGATCCATGAATTATAAGGGAATACATTAATGTTTCAACAAAAGTGTCTTGATTTGAACATGAGAATGTAGATTTGAATTGCAATTCCCAGACAATGCAACTCCTAGCAATCAAATGTTGCAGTGCTCAAATATGTTTCAAGTAACTAGTCATATAATGAAGAAGAGTCTGAAGCATTCTGAAGAAGGATCATTGGACCCAAAACATTAATTTCCTTTCTTCCTCCCTCCCTTCCTTCCTCCCCTCTCTTCCTTGATCCCATTCTTTCCCTCGTTCATACTCCCTTTCTCTCGCTTTCACTCATTCTCTCTCTCTCCTTCTTTCTCTCTCACAAATGCTGCCAGATCTGCTGAGTTTTTCCAGCAATTTCTGTTTTGGTTTCTGATTTCCAGCATCCACAGTTCTTTCCTTTTTTTAATATATAATCACCTTGGTCTCCTCCCAACAATCAGTTAGGGTCCTCCCATTCACAACTGCAGTGCTGGATGTTAAAAGTCACTGTCTTTTACACTGAGTTAATGGCCCTTGCAGTAATTCTCCATTCCTTCTGAACCTGCAAGTAGGTTTTCTTCCAATCTTCTGGTCAAGTTGGCAATCTTCCAGATAAGGAGGTATAGCTATTATTTAGTCCTATCTGGATTTGTTCCCAGTGCAGGAGCCTCCAAGGCCTCTGACATAATCTCAGCACCTTCCGATAGCACAATCTGAAAATCTCTCACAGGTCAGAAACTTTGTAAGAGAAAAAACACATGGCTCCTCCCAGCTCTGCATTGTTCTTTAAGTGTGCACATTCAACGTCGGGCTAAACGTTACATCATTTGCTTCTTTTCTTTCCAGCTGTTGACGACGGGCAGCAAAATGTTCCTGTAAAAACCCTCCACATCCTCTCTGAGATATTGTCACCCACTGATTCCTTCTATTCTCTTCTGAGTAATTCCCAGATCCAAGATGCCTTGCCCCTGGATTTCCATGTGCTACCTGTATATAGTCCTCCCAACTTTATTGTTAATTCATTCTTGGGATGTGGGGGTTGCTGGCTAGCCAAGTATTTATTGCCCATCCCTAGTTGTCCTTGAGAGGGTGATACTGAGCCACCATCTTGAATTGCTGCAATCTACATGCTCTGGATGTATCCACAATACTGCAAGGGAGGGAGTTCCAGAATTTTGACCCAGCCACAGTGAAGGAATGGCGATTATATTTTCAGTCAGAATGGTGAGTGGCTTGGACAGGAACTAGCAGGTGGTGGTGTTCTGCTAACCTTGTCTTTTTAGGTTGTGTGTTCGGCAGATGCTGTCAAAGAAGCCTGGATGAGTTGCTGAAGTGCGTCTTGTAGATGGTGTATGTTGCTGGCACTGTGCATTGGTGGAGAATAGATAGAATTTTGAGATGTTGGATGGGATGTTAATCAATCGGGCTGCTTTGTCCTAAATTGGTTCAGGCTTCTTGAGCTGCACTCATCCAGAATCCAAGTGGGGCATATTCAATCACACTCTTGATTTATGCCTTGTAGATGGTGGGCCAGTTTTGGGGAGTCAGGAGATGAGTTACTTACTGTGGGATTTCTAGCCTATGATCTGTTCTTGTAGCCACAGTATTTATAAGACTGGTCCAGTCCAGTTTCTGGTCAATGATGTTGATAGTGGGGGATTCAGTGAAGGTAACATCATTGGCTGTCAAGGGGCAATGTTTAGATTCTCTGTTGTTGAAAATGGTCATTGCCTGACACTCGTATGACGTGAATAACTTCTGTGCAGAGTAAGTTTGTCAACAACTCCCTGTGTTTCCCTTCATTCTCAGCAACAGCAGCAAATTGTCCACATATTGGATCAGTCGGTCTGGATGACTGAATCTCTGTAGACAACAGGCCACGCTCTGGTGAAATATGAAGCACTATTATTGAAATCCTGTAGTAGACAGGCCCTTGAATATTACTGTCCGTTAAAGATAAAGGCAAGTGTGTACTGAACCTCTGAAACTGACCAGAAACCATTTGTATTATCAAAGTTATACCCTGGGATGTTACCAATCCGATGCGCCAGTGGGTGCACTGTTGTTGAGGACTCTTTATAATCAATGATCACTTGCCATGAACCATCTCGTTCCTTAGCCAGCCAAATACTTTCTTTGGATATGGGCGTTGCTGGCAAGGCAATGTTCTTAGTTCAAACAAACCATTTGGTTCAGAAGCAAATAACCCTTTATTGTCCTCTCTTGGGTTTCTTACAGCTCTTGGCAAAATGACATTTTCCTCCACAGTTACAACAAATCCTATCATCTGCTCCTCTCACCAGAATAAATCAAGGTTTTCATCTCCTGCTGCTATTTCTTGGAGGTTGGAGCTTTCATATTGCACTCCTTGCCCTTTTGTTCTTGCCTTTCCACCACTGATCCTGAACATCTTGTCCTCAGTCATTCCATCATCAGAATCAAACCTGTTTTCCATAAATGAGCCTTTGAAAGAGGTCAAGCCACAGCTGATCAGAGAATCCAGAGGCCACTGGCTACATCAACTTACTGCTGTCCATTCTCACTTTAAACCTCCAAAATCAGAAGCAAAAATACTGCAGAAGTAGAGAACATTCCAGAAACACTTAGCCAGTCAGGCAGCCACTGTGGAGAGAGGAACCAAAGGTTAACATTTTGGGACTGCGCCTCTCCAGTTCTGCTGAAAGGTCGTGACTCCAAAACATCAACTTCCACAATCCCTCCCTCCACAGATATTTCCCAACCTGCTGAGAATTTTCCAGGTCTTTCCGCTTTTATTTCGATTAGGGACCCCTCCAGATTTTAAGATTGGAATTCTGGAAATGAGCAGCCAGCAGGGATCCACAGAATTGTTACATCACAGAGGGAGGTTGCTCAGCCCATCAAGTCTGTACTGCCTTCTGCCTCTAACCCCACACATTCTTCCTTTTAGAACAACTGTCTAATTCCCTTCTGAATCCATGCTCCATGGCATCACATTCCAGACCTTAACTAGTCATGCGTGAAGAGATTTTCCTCATGTGGCCTTTTACTAGTTCGCTTTAATCGGTGCTATTTAGCACTGGGTCAATCCTTACATAAGTAGGAACAGTTTTTTCCTTTCTCTACTTTGCCCGGACCCCTCATGACTTTGAATACATCAGTCAGCTTCCTCTTCTTCAAAGAAACAGCATCAACTTCTCCAATTTATCAATGCAACTGAAGAGATACTGTAGGAACAGGATCTTCCTGCTCGATGTCTCCATGGTAACTAGGCTCCTTTATTTTCCAGGGCAGCTACCACTTCAGAGTGATGCCAGTGGAGAGATGGCTGGACTGGTTACTGACCAGGAACTAAAAGGTGAGTTAGTGACTGCGCTCTGTACTAAGATACAAAACACCTCAAGGATTGTTTACATAGTCGATTCTCCCCTTGAAATTTGGCTCACACTACCTAAGAGTTGGCAATGGCAGATTCAGTTGTGGCTTTCAAAGGACAATTATCTGAAGAGAAAAATTAAATTGTGGGGCTGTGGGCAAGAGGCATTAAATGCGAGTTATTCTTGAGTTAAGGCAGAACTTGAGTGAGTGTGACATCAAGGAGCCTTTACAAAACTGGATTCAACAGATATCAGAGGGACAACTCAATGGCTGCAGTTATACCTAGCGCAGAGGAAGCTGGCTATGTTGTCTTTCTTAATCTTTCAAGTGATGTGACTGCTGTTAGAGAAGCCAGAATTTATTGCCCATCCCTAATTGCCCTTGCAAAGCTGGTGAGCCTCTCCTTGAACTGCTGCTGTCCACCTTGTGCAGGTGCAGTTGCAGTTTTGTTGCAAAGGGAGTCCCTTACCTAAACACTGGCCCTGTTGATACTCAGAATCCTTTTCGTTGTCCCCTTAGGGGAGGTTTATCCTCTTGTGATTGGATACCCATGTAACAGAGATATCTGGCACATGCCTTATAGTATCATAGAGTTGTACAGCACAGAAAGAGACCCTTCAGTTCACCCTGTCCATGCCAACCAGATATCCTAAATTTATCTAGTCCCATTTGCCAGTATTTGTCCTATATCCCTGTAAAACTTTCCTATTCATGCACCCATCCAGATGCCTTTTAAATATTGTAATTGTACCAGCCTTCACCACTTCCTCTGGCAGCTCATTCCATACAAACACCACCCTCTGCGTGAAAAAGTTGCCACTTAGGTCCCTTTAAATCTTTTCCCTCTCACCTTAAACCTATGTCCTCTAGTTTTGGACTCCCCTACTATGGGAAAAAGACCTTGGTTATTCACCATATCTATGCCCTCATGATTCGATAAATCTCTAAAAGGTCATCCCTCAGCCTCTGGCACTCCAGGAAAAATAACTCCAGCCTATTCAGCCTCTCCCTATAACTCAAACCCTCCTCTCCCAGCCACATCCTTGTAAATCTTTTCTGAACCCTTTCAAGTTTAACAGCAACGTTCCTATAGCAGGGAGCACAGAATTGAACACAGTATTCCAAAAGTGGCCTAACCAATATCCTGTACAGCCACAACATGACCTCCCAACTCCCATACACAATACACTGACCAGTAAAGGCAAGCATACCAAACATTGCCTTCACTAACCTGTCTACCTGTGACTCCTGCTAGCCCACGAAATCTTACTAATGTCCTGAACAGTATGTGCAACACCACTCTAAGTTGAAAGAAGTGCTGCTTTACCTGACACGAACTCTCAAGGTGGCTTTGCACTTGTGCTAAAATACCCCTCCGCCTCAGTGTGTCAAAAACTGGGCACACAAATTGAATCTGTTGCAATTTGTCCATTGCTGTTTATTGTTAATGGACAACGTTACATTTGTATAGCCAATTTCACATCCTTGGGGCATCTCAAACTGCCATACCATTGATGAAATACTACTGGAGAGTAAGTCACTGCTGTAAAGTAAGAAATTCAGCAGCTATTTTGTGCACAGCAAGCTCCCACAAACACCAGTGTGGTAATGAATAGTTAACCTGCATTTTAGCAGCTTTAAAGATAAATACTGACTAGGACACTATGGAAAACTCCTCTGCTGCTCTTCCAAACGGAGCTATGGATCTTTCATGTCCATGTGAAAGGACAGACGTGGGCTTCGGTTCATGTCTCAAGTCAAAGATAGCACCTTGGCCAGTGTAGCACTTACTCATTATTGTATTGGAGTGTCAGCCCAGTTTATTTACAGCAGTCAGGGGAGTGTGAATTGATCTATTGCACCAAAAGGGAGAGAATAGCCTAGTGGTATGATTGCTGGCCTATTAATCCAGAGACCCGGATAACGTTCTGGGGACCCTGGTTCGAATCCTGCCAGGGCAGAGAGTGGAATTTGAATTCAATAAAAAATATCTGGAATTAAGAATCTAATGATGACCATGAACCCATTGTCGACTGTTGGAAAAACCCATCTGGTCCACCAATGTCCTTTAGGGAAGGAAACTGCCATCCTTACCTGGTCGGGCCAACATGTGACTCTAAACCCACAGCAATGTGGTTGACTCTAAACAGCCCTCTGGGCAATTAGGGACAGGCAATAAATGTTGCCTGGTCAGCGACGCCCTTATCCCATGAATGAATAAAGAAAAGGAAAAAAAAAATCTCTCTGCCTTCTGGTCACATTCAGTCTCCATGACTTACAGACAGAGGGAAAATCAATCAGTGTTCCTGCTCCTGATCATTGTCCAGTGATCCCTGGGTCATAGAAAGAGGAGGAGAGATCCTACTCCTGATCATGGATTAGAGAAAGAGGAAATCAGCTAGTATTCCTGTCCCTGATCACTTTCCAGTGACCTTTGGCGCAATAGGTATGCAGACACTGAATCTTTTGCTGCACCAACTTTAATCCGAATTCCTAAGATTTAGGGATGTGAGAGATGTTCATTCTGTAATCTGAGTCATTAGTTATCAAAATCTGTGCACACAGATGCACACAAATTCCTCTCAGATATTACAACCCTGGGGATGCCAATTCAATTTGTTTTTATGTGCTTGATATGATCCTGAACTGGGAATTATAATCAGGAACACTACATGACTGACAGCCTGAATTCAACAGAAGATTGACAAATAGGCTAAGCACTGGACAGTGAAAGTCCAGTGATAAAATAAAAACAGGGTTTTTTTTCAGACAGAGTTTTGAATAGAGTAGCAGGGGAAAGGATGTTGTTAGTGTAATGTTAAATAGTTGATTGGTTCTATGTTTGATTTGTGAGTATACACTCACAGTGCTTGATTGATTAGGTCTGGGTGATGACATAGAGCAAAGTTAAAAAGTGAAATATCATAAACCAGCATCAATGTGAGTGGAAACTGAGCCTAAGTGTGGACGTTGACATTTTGTGAATGCTGAGATACTATAGAACTTGTTGCACACTTCGAAACTAATGTAATCTCTGGACTACTCTGAAATATATAAAATACACAAGAGATTATGTGAAATACAAGCAGATTCAGTAGACATTTTCAAAAGAGATCTGAATAAGTACTTAGCAACAAAAACATCCGTAGGGCTATAAGGTATGAAAAGGGGAGAAAGACAAATTGGAATGCTTTTTTCAAACAGCAAGCACAGCTACAATGGGCTGAAAGGCCTGTGTCTCTGCTGATAAACACTTTGATTCTACATGCAGTGACACTCATTTTCTTCTAATTCCTTCCTGATGTAGGTGATGACATTGTTTACAGGAGCAACAAAGAGTCTGGTCAGTCCCGAGGGTCATACAAGAGGTCAAAGCGAAGGCATGCTAGGAAGGTCAGTGTCAAGTCAGCTTCTTTAGGATTCTATACATTGTTCTCCATCACTTTCTGGTTAATTTAAATGATTAGGAAAAAATGTTATGATTGCACGAAATTTGGCACTCTCTGTGTTTGTCCTGATAATTACAAGACTAAGTGGCTTCAGCAACAAGCTTCCTTTTCAGCAAAAGATTTATTCTTGGAATGTGGGCAAGGATGGCAAGAAACCATCCAGGTTGCCCCAAGGGCATTAAGGGTCAACCACAGAGTATGGGACTGGAGTAACATGTGAGCTAGAGGATTGGGATTGGGAGAGGCTTGGGCTGCCTCTGAAGTGACACTAGTGAACCAGCTCAGTTTTTACAACAATTTGGTCAATTGTTTCTTTGACTCCCAAGTTATTGATTCCAGTTTCACGGCTTTGATGGTTAGATTTGACCCCAGCTGGTTCTTAGGTGACCCCTGAATGGTTCAATGAGATCAGCAGGAGTGTCTTGAGGAATATTGATGTTGATTCTCTCCTTGATAGACCTAATGCTAGAGTCCCTAGTCCAGTACATCTTTCATTGTAGATGGAGGCCATGGCAGCCTATGTGACATCTCTGAACTATCTTATATACTGCTCTGAAGTTCTGCTGTGAGTATTCTCACCAAAAGACTGTGTAACCTTTGTACGAACTTGTTTGCTGTCAATTTTTTTTTAGGCTTTCAGACAAGGCGGCCGGAGACGGACTGACCCTGGTGGGGATTCATCAGGTAAGGAGCAGGTCGTCAGGGAACTTGAGTCTGAAACCACCAGACAGCCATTTAAACACTGGCAATATGCCACAGCCTAGCACTCAGTCTGACTATGACTGGGACACAACAGGTGGAAGTTCCCTAGGATTGTTCTGCTCAGAAAAGGTCACACGGAGGTCCAACCAATAGTAGGAGCCAAGGCAGATCTCTGAAGGAAACTCCAGTGAATAACCATTATGTATTGGTCATACCACTCCTCCATTTTGAAGTATACAAGACCTATATTCCTAAACGGTCAAGAAAGAATTGGACAAGTACTTGAAAAGGAAAATATCTGCAGGGCCATATGGTATGGAAAGGAGACAGAGACAAATTGGAATGCTCTTTTCAGGAGAGTGAGTGTCATTTGCCAGTTTTACTGGTTTTTCCTTCTGGGATTGAGGTGAAGAGTTCAGGATTCTGAAGAGTCAGGAATATCCTACACTGACTTCGGAAACACTTCCTAAACCCATTTCCTTTCAGACATTTCTCCACAATGACCTGCACTTACTTCTGACTGTGTCTCCTCAGGTCTCCCCAGCCAGACACCTGTAGTCACGGTGTCTCAGGAGCCCTGTGACTTTCCCTGTGTCTTACAGACAACAGTTAATGGAGTGCCCATGGGGGCTACTTGCTACTCTACTGCACTGAGATCAGCAGTGTACATACGGTCTGCCCCAAGTGTGCACTGAAAGACCACATTGTCTTTCAGTAAACGAGGGCAAAGTGGACCTAGTTGAATGTGTCCCTATGATCAGGCGAGAGCTGAATTCAGAGATAGGAGGGATGGGTGACTGCTCAAAGTCACAGGTGACAATTTGGAGATGGTGGTTCCAGAACTTGGTACTGGAGCATTTTGTGACAAAACTGCAGGAAACAGTTAGATATCTTTAACCAGAGAACAGAGTGCAACAGTTAAATGTGTAAGTGTTGCTTTAAAGGCTAAAGAATGTGCCAGTCTCCCAGGAAGGAGATGACAGAATGTGCCAATGTTTCATTTTGCCAGCCCCAGTTAGTAACCTGAATGTTGCTTTCGTGGCACTGCTCTGGTTTCCAGTTCGTGTGGGAATTGGAATCAATGCCAGAGCTGTGGGTGAGAGAGCTTGACTCGACGCCAATGACTTCTCCTCTCAAATAGATGAGTCACATCCCTGGCCCGATGAGTGGCACTGCAGCCCAGGATCTTGTGCTACATGACTTGAAGTCGCTGCATAATGGGTAAATGGTCACCAGCAGGGACCTTCTCTGTGACTTTTGCACCTAACTCACAGGGTTCAAGTGGTGTTTGAGCAATCTTAACTCTGAACACCTCATAACAATATCCTTCCTTTGCAGCAGAAATGAGAGAGACCAACTTTGTCCTTCAGTTTACCTGATCAGCTCCAGTCCGCCTAAAGGCTGCACTGAGTTGGAGGTGCAGTTGAGGGGGATGAGGCAATCTTCATGTAGGAGGAGACCACGCTAGCCCCATCAGTCTGTGCGCGATCATAAGTCAGCACTTGCTTAGCTGTAATCTACTCTCAGATGCCCAGTTTGGGTTCCGCCAGAGCCACTCAGCTCCTGACCTCATTACAGCCTTGCTCCAAACATGGACAAAGCAGCTGAACTCCACAGAGACTGCCCTGACATCAAGGCCAGTTATTGGAGATCAGTCATTTTAGTCCCAGGATATCTCTGCAGGAGTTTCTCAGGATCATGTCCTCAACCCAACCATCTTCATTTGCTTCCTCAATGACCTTCCCTCCATCATAAGGTCAGGCAAAGGGACGTTCGCCAATAATTACAATCATACAGCACAGCAACAAACCCTTCAGTCCAACTCGTCAATGTTGACCAGGTTTCCTAAACTGAGCTATTCCTATTGCCTGTGTTTGGCTCGTATCACTCTAAACCTTTCCCATCAATGTCCCTGTCCAAATGTCTTTTAAATGTTGTAATTGTATGTGGCTCTACCACTTCCTCTGGCAATTTATTTCATGTACCCACCAACTTCTGTGTGAAAACACTGCCCCTCGTGCCCCTTTTTAAATCATTTCCCTCTCAGTTTTCACCTACGCACTCTAGTCTTGGACTCCCCTACCATGGGGAAAAGACTTTGGCTATTCATCTTATCTTTGCCTCTCATGATTTTATAAACCTCTATAAGGTCACCTCTCAACTTTCTACGCTCCAGCGAATAAAGTCACAGCCTATCCAGCCTCTCCTTCCAACGCAAACCCTCCAATCTCAGTAACATCCTTGTAACACTTTTCTGCACACTTTCCAGTTTAACAACATCCTTCCTATACTAGGGCGAACAGAATTGTACACAGTCCTCCAAAAGTAGCCTTATCAATATCCTGTACAGCTACAACGTGATGTTCCAACTCAATGCACTGACCAATGAAGGCTAAGCATGCCAAACTCCTCCTTCACTATATAAAAACTGAAAGAACTGCCGATGCTGTAAACCAGAAGCAAACATAGAAGTTGCTGGAAAAGCTCAGCAGGTCAGGCAGCCTCTGTGAAGAAAAAATCAGAGTTAACGTTTCGGGTCCAGTGACCCTTCCTCAGAACTGGAGTCACTGGACCTGAAATGTTAACTCTGATTTCTCTTCACAGATGCTGCCAGACCTGCTGAGCTTTTCCAGCCTTCTTCACCATCCTGTCTACCTGAGATGCCACTTTCAAGGAACTGTGTACCTGCGCCTCTAGGTCTCTCTGTCCAACAACACACCCCAGGGTCCTACCATTAACTGTGTAAGTTCTGCCCTGGTTTGTCTTACCAAAATGCAGCACCTCACATTTATCTAAATTAAACTCCTTCTGCCACTCCTTGGCACATTGCCCATCTGATCAAAATCCCTTTGTAATCTTAGATAACCTTCTTCACTATCCATTATATCACCAATGTCATCTGTAAATTTACTAACCATGCCTCCTACATTCTCCTTTAAATTGTTCATATAAATGAGAAACAACAGTGTACCCAGCACTGATCCTTGCAGTACACCACTGGTCACACGGCTTCAGTTCAAAAAATTGCACCATCTTCAGCACCATTCAAGACAGCTCAGAAATGGAACAGTCCACGCCCATATGCATAAACAACATTAAGGTTTGGGATGATAGGAGGCTAGTAACATTCATAGCATACAAGCCCAGGAAATGACCACCTGGATGAGCCACATAAATACAGTGACTACAACAGCAGGCCAGAGGCTAGGAATAATGTGGTGAGTACTCATCTCCTGACTCCCTGAAGCCTGTTCACCATCTACAAGGCACAAGTCAGGAGTATATTGGAATGGTCTCCACTTGCCTGGATAAATGCAGCTCCAACAACACTCAAGAAGCTTGACACCATCCAGCACAAAGCAGCCTGCTTGACTGACACTTTGTTCATCAACTTCAACATTCACTTCCTCCACCGCTAACGCTCAGTAGCACCAGTGATGCAGTAATTCACCAAGCTTTCTGAGACAGCACCTTCCAACCCTGTGACCTCTAACGCCTAGTTAGAAAAGAGCACCAAATGGAGGGGAGTACCACCTCCTGCAAGTCCCTCCACAAGCCACACACCATCCTGACTTGTGACTATATCACTGTTCCTTCATTGAAACTGGGTGAAAATCCTGGAACTCCTTTAAAACAGCACTCTGGGTGTACATACAGCAGAAGCACTGTGGTAGTTCAACACCATCTTTTCAAGGTCATTTAAGGATAACAACAAATGCTAGCCTAGCCAGCGACATCCATATCCTGTGACCGAGTTTTTAAAAAGTACCGTTGCCTACACCCATTTTACACCTGTTCTTCATGATTGGAGCAAGACTGAGCTGATTCGGGAAACTTGAATAATGAATAGACAAAAGGGGAACTTTAAGTCAGAATTGAACCTGGAAACTTGTGTCTTTAATTCACTAACATCTGATTGAATTAGTAGGAACATCAGAGAGCAGATCACCCAGACGTGGGGTGAAAGTCAGCTCACACAGAAGGATAGAGGTCAACAGCCGACCCCCAGAAGCCCCTGCCAACTTGCAGGAGGACATGTTGGATGAAAATGGACATTTGAATTCTCCTGGTTCCCACCGAAACCCGGTCTTTGACTCGTTTCTGGAGGGGGAGGTAATGCAGGACAGGAAACGTGCTGCACATGGTAAGTGGTGCATTCTAAACTGATTCACAGAGTATCCAGCACGGGAGCTAAGGGAATTTCTTCATCAACTGGAGAGACTTCTGATCAGCAAAACATTTAAGGAATGCACTTAGTTGTAGAGATGTACAGCATGGATACAAACCCTTCAGTTCAATTCATCCATGCCGACCAGATATCCTAAATTAATCTAGTCCCATTTGTCAGTATTTGGCCCATATCCCTGTAAACCCTTCCTATTCATGTATCTATCCAGATCCCTGCAACCAGAACTGCACACCTGTAGTGTTTGATGGGGACAGTGTTGAGGAAGCTTTATTTTTAGTTTAAAAGAGTAGAAGGCACTTTACTCTGTATCTAATCCCATGCTTCACGCCCTGGGAGTGCATGATGGGGACAGTGTCAAGGAAACTTTACTTTGTATTAAACCTTGTGCTGTCCCTGTCCTAGGAGTGATTGATGGGGACAGTGTACAGAGAGCTTTACTATCTAATCCCATGCTGTCCCTGTCCTGGGAGTTTTATTTGGGAGAGTTTGGAGAAGGTTTTACTCTGTATGTAACGCTGTGCTGTCCCTGTGTTGGGAGTGTTGATGGTAACAGGGTAGAGGTTCTTTAATTTTAGTTTAACCCTGAGTATCTAACCCCGTGCTGTAACTCTCCCGAGTGTGTTTGGGGACAGTATAAAGAGAGTTTAAGTTTAAAAGAGTTGTGGGGGTAGGGGATGCTTACTCTGTATCTAGCCCTGTTTTATGCCCGCCCTGGAAGTGTTTGATGGGGTCAGCGTCTAGGGAGCTCTACTTTCTTTTTACTTTTAGTTTAAAAACAGTAGAGGGGGCTTTACTCTTTATCTAACCCTGTGTACTATCTCACCAGGGATTGTTTGATGGTGATGGTTTTGAGGGAATTTTAATTTCAGTTTTAAAAAGGGAGAATAAGATTGTGCTTAGGTACCTGTGCTGGAGTGTTTGAGAAGGTCGTGCAAAAATAGCGTGGCATCAGGAAGGCAGCAGAAACCAGTTTGTCCTCCTGAAAACGCAACAGAGTGCAGCCTTTGTAGCCCAACTCTGTCTCTACGTAGTGACGATAATCCAGCACTGTGTAACTTTCCTCCCACAGAATGTAATGTGGATCCACAACCAGGGCAGGGCCTTTCTCACCAACTGTGCTGTGCTCTGTCCTCAGGCGCCGGCTACGAAAGCTCGACACTGATCCCTTCCCTGACAGGCTGGTCTGAACTGGAAAGCAGCAGCCCATCAGCAGCTGAGGAGATGGAGGCAACGTGTGGTCTCCACGCAGTGTGAGTGTTACTGAAGTCGTGAGAACAGAGCAGAGAGGGTTCTCCCAGCTAGAAGCTCGATGGTATCAGGTTTAAGGCGACTGATAAAAGAACCCAAGGACAGATGACAAAATTTTTCTTTTAAGATACTTTCGAATCAGCCTGTTCAAAGATGTTAATGACACACCCCTAGAGCGGTGGGACTTGAACCCAGGTCTCCTAAACGATATTTCTTATTTACTCAAGTTAATGTGATCTGGAACACGCTGATCAGATCAGGCAATCCAGTCATAACTTCCGAAGGGAAATTGGATGATTAGAGTTATAGAGATGTGCAGCAATGGAAACAGACCCTTTGGTCCAACTCGTCCATGCCGACCAGATATCCTAAACTGATCTAGCCCCATTTGCCAGCATTTGGCCCATATCCCTCTAAAGCCTTCCTATTCATCTACTGATCCAGATGCCTTTTAAATGTTTCAATTTGAGGGGAATGATTTATCAAGGCTGTGGGAGTGAGCACAGAGGAGTGTGATTCACTGGATTGCTCTTTCAAAGGGCCTGCAGTGACCCAGTGGGCTGAAGGGCCTTCCCGCACATACATCATTCTCGGACTGCAAGTTTCACTGTATTCTCCCACTTTGTACTACAGAGTGCTGAGGGCTCGGGAAGGGGAATCTCTACTGAGAGGACTGCTCCCACCAAAACTGCCCCTGCATCAGAGAACTCCTTCACTGCAATCACCCCCTACATGCTGTCACTGCTCCCCTATTCCCACCCTGTGCTTGGCCTGATACGGTGGGGTAAACTGCTGTTCCTAGTAGGAGATACCCTCCTCTTCTGTGGCCCAGCTCTGGTTAGGATCAGAGGCTAGGTCTTGGCCTCCCTGCCACCAAAGCTCCCCCCATCCCAGCACAGCATGAAGGGCACAGGGTTGTCTTTTAGTTCCCTGCGCCCCAACACCCCTTCTTTCCTACCCATTGTATAACCATGGCCATGCTCTGTTCTGTGCAGCGATGATGGACATTCCCCCAGTCACCGTAGGAGTCGTCGTCTTCTGGTAAAGGATGGTCACATGGTTGCAGGGGATTCGGGGACAGAAGCTGAATACCAAGAGGCTGAATTACGGAATGATCTTGGCAAGGGAAGCACTGGAATCAAGGCTGTGAGTTAATCAGGGCAGATCTCCTCTCCATCTCAGCCTGAAGAGTTTAGCTTTGACATGAGACCTGAATGGGATCAGGGTGTACGCGGAACTGAGGGCCTGGAGCCTGTGGTGGTGGGGGGGGGGGGGGGGGGGGGGGGGGGGGGCTAGGCATCTCAGGGCCTAGGGGCTGGATCCACTGTCCGTGATAGTCCTGGAGTGTCTCATAATTGAAGCTCAATCTTTTAGCGATTGTTGCAAACAGCCAAAGAGAAGAATTATAAGGACATTAAAAGATGCCTTCAAAAAATTTTGTAAGAAAAGAATTGAAGTTGGAGGAGGGTTTTTTTGTAGTTGATGGATTGGAAGTCATTTAGTGAAATCTTCAGGTACACAAACAGCAGTATCAGCTATGATTTGGGAATGAGTAATTTCCAGGCTATAAGCATTGTGAGCGTGACTGTGATAAATCCTGGGATTGGGAATGTTAACTGGGCTCCAGACCTGGGATTGGGAGTGCAGCAATTCAGCCTGAGGAGCAATTTGTAATATTACGTTCTCTCCACAGAAGAAAAAGAGCAAAAGAAATAAAGGACAGAAAAGTCCCAACCAGGATCCAAACGCCAAGGACAGCAACTTGGTGCCCAGCAGCTCTGAAGGGCTGAGGAGCTCACAGGAACCAAGTCATGAAACAGGCCTGAGGAGTTCACTGGTGTCGAACCAGGCATTGGGGCTGAACAAACCGTTAGAGTCAAGGAACCCGGCGGGTCGAGACCAGGAATCCGGGTCAAAAGTACCACCAGGCCCAAGGGGTTCACTGGGTTCAATCCAGAGCTCAGGGCTGAACAATGAGACAAACAGGAACAATGGACGTGCTGAGTTCGTTGTAGGTGAGCTGAAGTTTACACATCACTGGGACAGGTTGGCAAGCAGCTTGGTGAAGTGGCAGGATGGTTAATGTGCAGCAATGCTGAGTCCACCACCTCTCAGCTCAATCCCACCCCCCAAAATGGGTACTTTGATGGCAGCAGTGGTGGGGTAGGGGACATTTCACTCCCATCCATATCCTGTCTGTAACCGGCCAAATGATGCCCAAAGCCAAGTGTCCAGCCTTTCAGGTGAAACCGGGCTGCACTAAGGAGAGGTGCCTGTTGGTCGAACAGGCACACTATGCCCGGCAGAGGACCGCTCCTAAGGTTCTCCTCCTCCTCCACAGTTATCCTTCAACCCCCACCTCCCACCTCATCAGGCCTGATTCCCGTTTTACCATCCTCCCTGGACCTTACCACCCTGGTCCTGATGAGATCCTGGGCTGACCTGAAATTCTGGTTCCATATTGTCCCCTTCTGCCTGTGATCGCAATGATGGTTATAGCTCCTGAGACATGCTGCTGAGACATGAGCTGCCAGCTATTTGATTGGATAGTGGTTCTCAGAGGAAGAAGTCATTCCTCAAGGTGTAAAATGGTAGTAAGCATGTAGTGGAGGTGTTGTTGATGGAAGGGATTGGGGGCAAACACAGAAGGGTTCGGCACCAATTTTTACACCCCATTCCCGTACCCCTCACCTCAAAGTTTGGCTTGTTGTTCCCAGGTCACCAATGACCCCTGATGGTAAGATCTGGTTCCTACCATGATTCTTGCTAATGTTCCTGTGGGCGAACAGGTTTAAGCTGGTGTTACTGAATGTCCCAGACAGAGCGAGTGTCAGGTCTGAATCGCTCTGACACTCTCAAACGCCAATCACCCCGTTATCTGGACAGAAGTGAATGAGCAGAAGGCCGCCCCGAGGTTGACAAGTAAATGAAATCCTCCCTCCGTTTGTTTGTTTAGGGAGACCCAGGGAGAAGAGAGCCCAGCAGCAACAATACTCGTCCCGAGTGAAGCAGAAGGAATCTTCCAAACCATTGATGAGGAGGACAGTGAGAGGTGATGGTGAAGAGGAGGATGCAGAGCACAGTTCTGAGGAAGGAGGACCCCTGCACTCAACAAGGACAAGGAACACTCCAATATCAGGGTCAACAGTCATTGCCTTTACTGCTGATCAGGATCCAAACTCCCACTTCAACAACACCACAGTGAGAGATCGAAAGAAGGATCAGGTGAGGTGCAGAGACCATTTGGAGTAAATGACACTGGAAATAGGTCAGTCAGTGGCTGAAAGGAAAACATATGCTCACACATCCGGGGAAGGAGTTGGGCAGTGACGTTCACCATCCGTGCCCCACTCCATCTCCAATCTCGCAGCCCACATGTCTTTTTTCAAACATAAAGTCACTCATCCCCAAACCAGGACAGTGCTGGTGAGCTACTTAATCCCCAAGCTGACCTTCTAACCACATGTCCTTGTCAACACTAATGCAGATGAGTTGTGCACCTCTTTAGCATCACCTGGCTCCACTCCTGCCTCGGCTCGTCACTGCTGAAATCCTCACCTATACCTCTCTAATTATCTCTAGACTCAGCTATCTGAGTACTCTCCTGATTGGCCTTCTACATTCTTGAGGTCTTTAACTTGCAGCAGGTCCTATTTCCTTATCTTCCCTGTGCTCACCGGCTTACATTGGCTTCTGGTCCATATTAATTCCACTGAAAAGTTCTCATCCTTGTTTTCAAATCCCTCCTGTATTCTATACTCATCCAATTCTGGCCTCTTGCAGCATCCCTGATTCAAATCACTAACACTGGCAGCCAAGTCTTCAGTTACCTGGGACCCTAAACTTTGCAATATCCTTCCTACATCTCCCTGGCTCTCCCTTTCCTCCTTAAAACCGCCATCAAAGGCAGGGCAATCTAGTTACTCATGGCTCAATGTCAAGTTTTCTTTCATTATGATTCTGTGACAGTGCTATATAAATCAAGTTGCTATTGTTGAGGTGAGAGGGCAATATTCTTCACAGTAAACTGTAAAAACTGTCCTTGAGCCACCACAGGACTAAGGGTGCTAACAGAGAGGCCCCAAGGATCAATCTCAGGCCCAAAGCCAACGCGCCCTCGCGACCGAGTTAAAATCCAGCAGGAGCTTTTTACAGAGATTGGGGTGCGCATGCTCTCACTGTCTTCATATCCGATTAGGAGGACTCCGACTACTCACAGGAGAACACACATTTACCAGAGTCAAAGCACCTCAGGAGGTCAGGAAGAAGCAGGGTGGAGGGTGGAGACCGCCCCCAGAGACAACAGGAGCACAGCGAACAGAGACAGCAGGAGATGGAGCAGCGAATTCAGCAGGAGCTGGATGACGACCAGAGACGGAAAGAGCAGGAGATCAGGTAGCAGGAGCTGGTGGCTGTGGGGAAGTCAGGGTTCAAAATCCATTGCCTGTGGCTTTTGTGTAGCAGTACGGTCAGTCGAAGACACCTGCGGAGGAACTCTGGCTCCTGCACTGGGTGTTCAGGACATAACAACAGGTGCCTGGGGTTAGACAGAATCTGAACCAACCCCAGAATCTTCACCCTGCTCTGTCCTCAGAGCTCAGATGCCTGAAGCTCAGTACCAGTTTGGAGCTCGATTTCCACAATGCTGGCAGTGCCTGGAATTGTGCAGAGACTGTCTGGAGTATTGGCTGCAGGTCTAGCCTCTCTAAATTTAACATCTTGTACAGTTATCGCTGTAAAGACGACATGCTGTTGTAGTGATTCCCTTGCACTCATATCAGGACACATACAACAATGCTAAACTTTAAAGGGAGCAACGATTCATACTGTGGGAACAACGGGTACTTTTGGTTGGCAAGTCAACTCTGATTAGTCGAGGTTTTACCGTGGAGAATGCACTACAGAACTTTTGTTCACCAAGTTTTGTTTAATTCAAGTATTGTGCAAAGCCTAGTCATGTTCCTTTTGCCTGCAGAGGGCATTTAATTTTTCCTCCTCTGTCATTCCTTGAGGAATGTGAGGAGAAAATGGATACTGGTGCAGTAACATACAAGACCAGAAATCACCACCTCTAACATCCAGCCTGCAGTGTTACTCCGGTGATGGAGTTTGCTTGTGATTCACAGGAAACAAAGGCAACAACACGAGCATGAGATAATGCAGCAGCTCAAAGCTGAACAGAGCCGGCAAGAACAGGAGCAGCGGGAACAACGACGGCAACATAGGCAGCAGGAGGAATATCGTAGGAAAGTGCAGGAAATGCAGCAGAGGAAGGAGAGGAGCCTGGCAGAGAGAGCAGGTAAGTGAATGGGGGCAAAAGACATCAGGGTATTTTAAATATGTTCACGGGATGTTCATATCACTGACTTGGCCAGCATTTATTGTCCATCTCTAGTTGCTCTGGACAAGGCACTGGTGAGCTGCCTGCTTGAACCACTGCAGTTCATTTGCTGTAGGTAGCACAAACCACAGTACTGTTAAGAAGGGAATTCCAGGATTTCTTCACCCAGAGGGTGTTGAAACTTTGGAATTCTCTGTCCCAGAGGGCTGTGGAAACTCAATCACCGAGCAGGTTCAAGACAGAAATTGCTAGGTTTCCGGAGACTAATGACATCAGGATATAAAGATAACGTGGTAAAGTGGCATTTGAGTAGATGATCAGCTGTGATCTAATTGAATGGCAAAGCAGGCCTGATGGGCTGAATGGCCTACTCCTATTTCAATGTGCCACAGGGTGACAGTACCAGATAGTGATGAATCATCCCCACATGATAGGCAAGAGTCAGTGTGTGTGGGATCAGGTTGTGCTGTGATACCCTGCATCTTCATTTACAAAGCCAATGCTGACTGGTCCCATCAGGTGGTTTGGGAGGACACTCAGTGCTTTTCAGAAATTTAGTGTGAATAACAAAGAGCTGAGGGAATCAGTTCAGAGATAAAAGGGATGAGAGTGAGGCCAGTGCACACACAGTGGGTGAAGTATCGGTGTTTCTCACTTTGCTGCACTAGAGGAGGCAAAGAGACTTCAGAGAGAGCGTCAGAAAGACCAAGAAGAGGAGGAAGAGCTTCTGAAGGCAATGGATGAAACACAGAGAATGGAATACCTGAGACTGAAGCAGATTAAAGAAGAGAGAGAGAAGAAGGAGATGGAGGAACAGCGCAGGAAGGAGGGGGAAAGAAGCAAGTTTCTGATGCAGGAGGCAATGCAAGAAGCAATGTTCCTGTTGCAGTGAGTATCAAAGCAACTGATACACAGAGCGCTGGAAACAGACACACACAGTAAGTTGGAAACCCAGACTGGACCTCGCAGGCTTTTAGTCCCACTTTCCCTAGTCCATTGGGTTTATTCTGGGTGTCAGTAAACCAAGGCAGTTCTTACAACAGAATATATGCAAAGTTCTTTATTAAAGCAAACTACATTACAAAAATCTTACCCATACAATGTTTACAAATGCAAGTGAACCCCTCTACACTGACTTGTCTGAAGATCAGACCACAACAGGTGATCTGCCTGCTCTATCTCAATGTCTCGTCATTGATCAACCAACCTTCCTCTGAGCATGCTAAATATTTTACTGTGAGGCCAGTTGCTTTATATTCTTTCCATATAAAGAATTTGTACATTTTACACTCTTGACAATATCCAGTCTCCAGAAAATGATCAGTTTGACCAATGAGAAACGTATCATGATTTCCATGTTGGCTTGATCAATCAACTCATTAAGACTGGTCTGTGTCTCTTTGCAAAGAGGTCCATCTCTTGCCTTTAATGAACTTTGATATCAAACTTTAGCTTGAGTTCATTGTTCACCACTTTTATGTCATCCAATCAAACAAATAATATTTACGCAGCACAATTCCTTGACAATCACAAATTCAGCTGATAAATAGTCCATATTATCACATTTGATTTACTGTATCTATTTTAAACTTTTCTAAAGTTACAGTGACAGTTCAGTCCATTATTGTTCAAATTACAAGACTTGATGTAAACAAACACACGCTCTTTCAGCCCAAACACAAACACTTTAAAAGACATGACCTTTCTAATCATTAGGTCATTACCAAGTTTTTAAAAAAAGTTTTCACCTAATGCAGCAAATTTTAGGTTAATATCTACAGCTCACACTCGCAGAGTACTGGAAATCCAAACACCCACAGTTCAGTCTATTATTGCTTCAGTTACAAAGCTTGTTATAAACAAACATGTTCTTTCAGGCCAAACACATAGAAGCATGGAAAATAGCAGCAGGAGTAGGCCATTCAATATGATCATGGCTGGTCATCCAAAGCAGCCTGTTTCTGTGTTCACTTTTTAATCCCTTTTGCCCCAAGAACTTCATGTCACTCCTTGTAAACGTTCAATTTTTTGGCCTCAACCACTTTCTGTGGCAGAATTCCACTACCTCACCACTCACTAGGTGAAGAAATTTCTCCTCAATCCTAAATGGCCTCCCTCGTATCCTAAGGTTGTTATCCCTGGTTCTGGAATCCCCAGTCATTGGGAATATCCTTTTCTCATTCAGAGCTTAAGGCCCCCACTACGAATTTATGAAATCTGCTCACCCACACCGCTGCCTCTGTTACCTTCCTACAGTTGGCTGTAAAAGCTTTTAAAACCCAGGACCTTTCTAATCATTAGGTCATCACCAAGTTTCATATTTTCTCCTTCACGTTTCATTTTGGCTAACACAGAAAATTTTTTGTTAATATCTACAACACAGATACAGTATTGGAAAACCAGGTACACAGACAGAGTGCTGGAAACTCAACAGTACCCTCCCTAACCGCTTTTCCCACTCTTCTTCTGAACCAGCACCCCCACACTCACCCCAATTCTTAGACTCCCCGTCAGTGATCCCCACCGCCTCCTCTCCACCTGTTACTAATTGCCTCTTCTTTTATTTCAGTCAAAAGGGGCTGATGGAACATAACCTAACATTTTCTCGGAATCTGTGGGTGGAGTTCCTTGGTCTGGAGCGAGATCAAAACATCACCAGGCCCTGGGTCTTCTCATACTTCGAACTGATCAACTTCCTGGGTCTGCAGACCCCAATGGAGGAGGGAAAGGAAGAGAGCAGCCACGTTGGTCAATGGGACTGAGCAAAGAGGAGACCCAGAGGAGAAGAATGGAATCCATTTTCTTAAAACTCTCGCTCTAAGCAGACAGTGTGGAGCAGGAGAGGCACATTTGGGTATTCACGTCAGTCAGGGTAAGGCTGATTACATGTACAAGATTGAATCTGTTAAATTTACACATTGGCAGCTGCAGAAATACTCTTGCACACATTCAAACACAGACAGACATGCATATGTATATGTTTGCACAGAGAGACATTTATATAGACATGTACTACCATACACACACAGTAATAAACCCTGGTACATACATACAATACTGAAAGAGCAGCTGATAGTGTGCCTGTAATTATCTCTTAACAGTGCAAAAAAAATCAGAAAAATGAAAGAGAGCACAAATAGAGTGCAAAGCAGAGGTTGGTGGGCACAGAAAGTGAGTGAAGACTGAGGACATCACACTACATCTAAAGTAAACAAATGCCTTGGGGTCAGTCTCTCAAATTTCAGTCAGATAATAAACTTGCTTATAAAATTTAGAAATCTTTGTACATTTTTTTTAAAAAGAAGATACTCTTCAAAGCTTCACTGGGAGAACTTCAGTCAGAACAATGTAGCTACTGTCAGCTCCCCAGGTGAAGGCTGGAATCTCCTTCTGGATCCCAGTGTCACCTCGTTCCAGGTACTCCACTCCTGCCTTGCCACTCCAGCCTTTGTTGGACAGTGAGCGCACAGCAGTCACCTGTGCAACTGGCTCTGGGTGAATGACCTGCTGGAGCTGGGAAGGGAAGGTAGGAGAGGGAAGTACAAAATCACAGCAGGTGACAAAAACTTTAGTGAAATTCCCAATCCCAATCCCTTCAATGCTGTTATACACATAATATTGTTTTTCCTAAAAAATCTTTTGGAAATATTGCCACGTTCATGGTAAAACAATCTAGTGGTGACATAATCAATGTCCTCTTCACAGTGGTTCAGATCAAAACTAGTTGTTTAGTCAATGACCTGCATTGACAACGAGATGAAGAGGCTTCCAGACAGAGTCACACAGCCCAATCCAACTCACCATCAATGAATCCCTACACAGAGACCTTTAGAGTCCCCAGGACTTGCAAACCCCAAACTCCACCTTGCTTCCAGTGCCACAGTGGTTAGGGGGAGTTTGTGAAACTGGTGAAGCTTTGGGTCACAGGGAAGTAAAGTTTCTTCCTAAGGGTATAACTGGGCTGTGGCATTTGAGTTTTGTCTTTCTTGTCTTTTTTCCCACTGACATCTCTGTTGACGATGGTCAGAATGCTGAGCAGATCCTCCCTGAAAAGGAACAGAAAAGAAGTCCATTAGATAGTGTCACTCTGAATATCTTCTTTCCCAGTGCAATAAGGTCAGTCGCGGCTGGGAGTGACATAGAATCGGAGACCCACAACCCTCTCATTCTTGCTCCACTACATGCCCCACCCTCTCCCTTCCGCCTGTTGCCAGTATACCCCTCTCTCTCTCCCCTCCCCCATGTATCCCATTCACTTTGTCTCTACCCGTATCTCCCTCACTTCCCTCCCCACGAGAAAACAATCCTTGATTCTTCCATCCTTGCAAACTACCATCCCATCTCCGATATCCCATTCATCTTCAAAGTCCTTCAATGTGGTGTTGCCTCAAAAATCTGTTCCCGTTGTTCCAGGAACTTCGTTTGAAACCCTCCAGTCTGGTTTCTGTCCCTGCAGCAGTACTAAAACGGTTTTTATCAAAGTCACAAACAACATGCTATGTGACTGTGTCAAAGGTAAATATTTCTTCCTCATCTTTCTTAACCTGTCTGCAGCCTTTGACACAGTTAATCACACCATCCAGTGCCTCTCCACTGTCATCTAGCTGGTTCGGACTGCTGTCACTTGGTCTTACTGGCCTAGTTATAAACAGACAATCACTTACACTGACTTCTCTTCCATCCCCTACACCATTAACAGTCCTGTCCAACAAAGATCAATCCTTCGCCCCTGTCTATTTCTGATCTTCTTGCTATCCCTTAGTGACATCATTCAAAGACAGTGTTAATTTTCACATGAACACCGATGTCACCGAATTCTACTTCACCAACACATCTGTCCACTCCTTCACTTGTTAAATTATCAGCCTATATCCAACATCCAGTAGATATTTCCTCTAATTTAGTACTGAGACCAAAGCCATTGTTTGTAGTTCCTGCTCCTCCTTTAGCTCCCTATTCGATCCAAAAAAACAATCTGAATAAGCCAATCAGTTCATAACCTTGCTGATATATGAACCCAACATGAGCTTCGAAAGCTCATTATCTGTGCTATATCTGCCTCATTTCTGCGAAACAGTCTTCTTCCTCTTTACCAACATCACCTGACTTTGCCCCATCTCAGCCCCTCTGCTGCTGGAGTCTTATTTCATGGTTTTGTTTCCTCTAGACCCAACCATTCAAACATACACCAGATTGGCAATTTTCTACATTCTGTAAACCGAACCTCTGTCGACCATCTTAATTCACAGCAAGACCCATGTCCCTTTCACCCTTGTACTGACCTACCTTAGTTTTAAAATTCTAATCCTTGTTTTCAAAACCCTCTATGTAACATCCTCCAGCCTCACGTCCCTTCAAAGATATTGCTGCTCTTCTAATCCTGGCCCCTCCTGCGTGTGTATCATCAGTTTTAATCACACCACCATCACTGACCATGCCTGGGCCCCCTAAGCTTTGAAAATCCTTCCTTGAAGCTCAGTCTCCCTTTAAGACAATGCTCAAATCTTACTCTTTGCCGCAGGTAATCGGACCTAATATCTTGTTACATATGGGTGGGTGCGGTAGTTTATTTTATGCTGCTCTCGGGACCTTTATGCTAATGATGTCTCGTTGTGGAGTGTCCCACTCCCCCATCCCCGTCTTCTCTTGTGCTACCCCCCAATTCCAAAGCGGGAGGGAGTGATTGGGGACTGGGTCTGTACCTGGCACAGTATTTCTCCAGGTTCTCGCACAGCGACTGGATATACCAGGTGCCCAGCTGTGTGTGTCGGAACGAGACGTATCCCTCCACCGTCGCCATGCCTAGGAGAAAGTCCGCCTCGTCAGGGATGGTGACCATGGCGATGCTAATGGCGTCCGGCTCCAGCACGGGGTCGGTCTCAACACTGACTACCTCACTTCCGGTGCTCCCGGGCCCCGCCCCCGCGGCGCTAGACCCCGCCTCCGCGAGGCTGGGCCCCGCCCCCGCAGTGCTGGCCTCCACCCCGACGCTGTCCTGTTTCTTGGTGCCCTGGCACGCCTGGATGAAGAAGAGCTTGGGCTTCTCTCGGAGGGTCGGGCACTGCGAGCCCGAGAAGAGCGAGGTGATTTCGCGTATGGCGACCATTTGGCCGTCGGTGCCGCACATCACGCCCTGCTTGCCGTGCGTCAGGATGCAGCAGACAAAGCAATCCCGCAGCGAGTGATCCGTCTCCCGGTACCGATTCATGGTGTCCCTCATCTCTGCAGCCGAGAGGTTCTTGAACAGAACCACTTCAAAACCAAGCCACCTGAAGACGCCGTCGAGCCGCTCTGTGGAAACACAAGGTTGGGCCCATAGTGAGATAGTAGGAACTGCAGATGCTGGAGAATCCGAGACAACAAGGTGCGGGGCTGGATGAACACAGCAGGCCAAGCAGCATCATAGGGGCAGAGAGGCTGACGTTTCGGGCCTAGACCCTTCATCTCTCACTCCCCGGGACCGAACCCGAGCCGACAGTAACAAATAATTACCCGCGTCCACAAGCGTTCCTTTGCGTTCCGGCATTGTCTTGAAGATAATGTTGTTAATTATGACGCAGAAGCCCCTTGGGTTGCTCTCCATTTTGTACGTGCCCAGAATCTGTCACAAAGAGAGAGTCTATGAGATACAACCAACGGGCCTTTCACCTGTCCCAGAATGGGGATCATCAGTCACGTACAGTAAGTCCTGGTTCTGCATCTGACAAAGACAATCTCGTGAATCCCACAAGCATTTGGGTTTTGACATTTACAATCAGGTCCGAACCCCAGCAGCTTTTTGGGACAGAGCGAGTACTGCCCTTCCTACGTGTGGTGGGGGTGCTGCTTCCTCACATCACCTCTGAAAGGCTAAGCATTCATTTAAACATGCTCCCATACACCTTACCCCCACCAGAGGAAATACTTTATATCTAAGAGATAGTAGGAACTGCAGATGCTGGAGAATCTGAGATAACAAGGTGTAGAGCTGGA